GACCCGTCCCTCCTGGAAACATGTCCAAAGTATGTCAGACGAAGCCCCAGAATCCTTGCCTCCAAGGAGGTGCTTGGTTTAATCCTCTCCAAGACAAATCCATTTGTTTTCCTGGCAGTCCAGGGTACATTTAGTACTCTTCTCCAGCACCACAGCTCAAAGTCATCAACTCTCCTTCTGTCCTCCCTAGTCATTGTCCAACTCTCTGATGCATAACAAGTGATTGCAAAGACCATGACCTGTATCAGGCGCACCTTAGTCTCCAGAGACACCGTTGCTCTTGAGTACTTTAGAGAGGTCCCTAACAGCAGACTTTCCCATAGCAATACGCTTTTTGATTTCCTGACTGCTAGTGCCAAGAGTGTTGACTGTGGAGCCGAGCAAACTGAAGCTGTGAACAATCTCAATCTCTTCACCATCCATCCTGATGCTGCCAATTGGCCCAGTGGTGAGAATCTTTGTCTTCTTGACATTGAGCCTCAGTCCATACTGAAGGCTGCAGTCCTTGACCCTCTGCAGCAAGTGCATGAGGTCCTCCTCAGTTTTAGCAAGGAGGGTTGTGTCATCTGCGTAATGGAGATTGTTAATAGATCTTCCACCAATCCTGATGCCACAATTCTCCTCATAGAGCCCAGCCTCCCAGATAATCTGATCTGCATACATGTTGAAAAGGTATGGAGACAGGATGCATCCCTGGCGTACACCCTTCCCAATTTTGAACCATGCAGTGTTACCCTGCTCTGTTCTGACTACTGCCTCTTGGTCCAAGTATAGGTTTCACATTAGCACAATTAAGTGTTCTGGGATTCCCATTCTTTTTAGAGTCAGCCGGCTTGTTATGATCCACATAGTCAAATGCCTTTGCATAATCAATGAAACACAGATAGACATTCTTCTGGTATTCCTTGCTTTCAGCCAAGATCCATCTAACATAAGCAACAATATCAGCATGTGATGTAAGTGATATTATTCAATGATTTCCACATTCAGTTGGACCACCTTTCTTGGAAATGGGGACAAATATGGACTTTTCCAACCCATTGGCCATACAGCTGTCCCTCAAATTTCCTGGCATAGACTTGTGGGTGCATCCTAGGCTGCATCTATTAATTGAAACAAGTCAATTGGTATCCCATCAATTCCTGGCGCCTTATTTTTTTTTGTCTATGCCTTCAATGCAGCTTCTACTTCCTTTTACATTACCGTTGGCTCTTGATCATATCATACTTTCTGAAAATTTTCAGTGTCAATCAGTTCTTTTTGGTACAGTGATTCTGTGTATTTTTCGATCTTTTGATGCTTACTTGATCATTCAATATATTGCCCACAGCATCCTGATAGTTGGAGAAGAGATTAATATTGTTAACAATTTCAGTTTGCTCAGTTCCACAATCAAAACTCTTGGCACCAGTGGTCAGGAAATCAAAAGACAAAGTGCACTGCTGTTAAGGACCTCTCCAGAGTGCTGAAAAGCAAGGATGTCAGTCTAGAGACTGGGATGCCCCTGATCCAGGCCATGGTTTTTGCAATTGCTTGCTGTGCATCAGAGAGCTGAACAATGATTAAGGATGACAGAAGAAGAATTGATGCCTCTAAGTTGTGGTGCTAGAGAAGAATTTTGAACATACTATGCTAAGAGAACTAAAAGGTCTGTCATGGAGAGGGTGAAGCAAAGATGCTCCTTGGAGGCAAGGTTTTGAGATTCCATCTCACACACTGGTCATGTAGCCAGGAGGGGCATTTTTTGGAGAGTACACATACATCCAGGCCTCTTTTTTTTGGCTGAGTACAGTGTACTTTATTGATTGTACATGACTAGATGGGCTCGCCAAGCCCCTCCCCTTTCTCAGGGGGATTTGATGGAAACTTGTGTCAAGGATGTGAGATTCTCAGTGTGTGGGAGGATCAGGTTGGGGCAAGGACTCCCCAACAGCTGAGGGTCTCTCTCTTCTAGCGCTATTGCTGGGGCTGGTGGTCCAAGGGGATCTTATTCTTTGGAGGCCATGTGAACCATCAGGTCCACCACCCAGTTGCTGTAGCCAAATTCATTGTCATACCAGGAAATGAGTTTGACAAAGTGGTCGTTCAGGGCAATGCCAG